ACCCTAACTGTTTTGGGTAAAGATAATAAAATGATGAATCATGGTTTGTCACATAAAGTGTATGTGACTTTAAGCTAAAGGAATGTAATTAAGGGTGCAGCTGTAAAAGTACTATATAAGAATAGTGATATGCTGAGTCATTTGAAAAAGTGTTTTAATTGTGGAGGGAGAGGACATTTTGCAAGATTTTGTAAGAAACCAAAGCGCCAGAATGCAAGCCAGAATACTGTAAGCCATCAAAGAAGAAATAAGAATTATGAGTTAGCAAGGTATAGTAATGGAGTTGTAAAAAATAATTTATGGGTGGTTGACAGTGGTGCGTCCCACTGTATTACAAATGATAACAAAAAATTTGTAAAAATGTCCATGAGTTCACAGCATTTCTCACTGGCAAATGGATGGAAAATGAAGGCAAAAGGTCAAGGTATAGCTCATTGTTCTAGTATAAATGAGAACATAAAAATGTTATATGTACCTCAACTTAAATTTAATTTGCTTTCAGTTAGAATGTTGGTTAAATTAGGATACATAGACCTTTAGGGGAGATACTTGTTTAATTGAAAAAGAAGGTAAGAAAATTACTGCATCTTTAAGAGGTGACTTATATGTGTTAAATGATAATGGTTTAAAGGTGGCTAACACAGTTTATGATAATAAAAAACCTCATGATGAATGTATTCACTTGTTACACCGAAGGTTAGGTCATTTAAATTTTAAAATGATTAAGAGAACTGTTCAACTATCTAAAGGAATAAGTTTGAAACCTTGTAATAAGTATTTGCAATGTTCTGCTTGTAATCAAAACAAAAGCAAAGTTATACCGGCAAATAGAGTTGATGGATTTACTACCAAAGAGCCTTTAGAGGTAGTATTTGCCGATATAATAGGTCCTAAAAAGCCAAGTGTAGGTGGTGCTAGATACATATTAAGCATAATGGACCACTATTCTAGGTATGGTTTCTGTTTTTTAATGAAGAGTAAAACTGAAACGTATACAAATTTCTTTAATTGGTTAAAATTTGCAGAGAGAAAAACTAAAAAGAAGTTAGTAACTCTTATAACAGATAATGGTGCGGAATTTACAAATAATAAATTCCAGAATAGACTTAGAATGGCAGGTATTCAACATAAAAAGTCTGCACCATATAGGCCTCAGCATAATGCATTTATAGAGAGACGAGGCCAAACACTGCAATCAATGGGAAGGACAATGTTATCTGATTCTGGATTACCTGACAATTTGTGGGGAGAAGCTATAATGTGTGGGAATCACATATTAAACAATGTTGTTAATTCAACAACAGGTGAATTACCATTCACACTGTGGCATGGTAGGAAACCTGATTTGAGTTATATTCACACATTTGGTGCACCAGCATGGGTGCATATCCCTACACAACTCAGACACAAAGGACAACATAGAGCAAAAAGATTAATTTTTGTTGGATATCAAGCAAACCATAGATCTTATAGATTCTGGGAACCAGGTACATCTAGAGTATACTGCAGTGCTAGTGCACAATTCCTAGAACATATAGGATGGAATAGATTAGAGCAAGATTCAGATAATGATATTATTATAGAACCCTATAAGAGGCAGAAAGAAAAGACTAGTTATAAGAAAAGTCCAATTAAAGAAGAAGTCCACGAAGAGCAAATAGTATCAGATCAAGAGGAAATAATTGATCAAGAAGAGATAGATAGTCAAGAACAGGAAATAAAGAAAAGTCCACCTGTAAGTCCTGTTATACCTAGACGCACAACGCGTATAACTAAACCACCTGAAAGGTATCAGGCAAGTATTGTTTGCCAAGTAAATAAAGTTCCTACTAGCATAGATGAACTTAAGATGTATCCTGCTAAGGATCAGGAGAATTGGCAAAACACAATGAATAAAGAGTTAAATTCATTAAAGGAAATGAAGGTTTATGAAGAAACCAAATTACCTCCAGGAGAAAAATCCATTGGGTGCAAATGGATATTTAAAGTAAAGACTGGAAATAATGGGAAAATAACTTATGAGGCTAGGTTAGTAGCACAAGGATTTAATCAAAATGTATTTGATTATGATGAGGTATTTGCACCAAATCTTAAGGCTACAACTTTAAGAGCAGCTCTAGTATGGGCAGCTAAGAAGAATTATATTGTTAACCATTTAGACGTAGAAACTGCATATCTACATGCACCATTGCAGCATACAATATATTTGAAAAAACCGGTTGGTATAAATGATAAAAAAGTAAATAGCAATGATTGTTGGAAACTCAAGAAGAGTTTATATGGATTGAAACAATCTGGCTATGAATGGAACCAATATATTGTGAAAGAATTAAACAATATAGGGTTTAAATCTGGTTTAGCAGATCCATGTATGTTTAAAAGAGAAAATAATGGAACGGTGTCATTATTATTATTATTTACAGATGATATTGCTTTGATTACTAAGACCAATAATGAAGCTACTGAGATTATTTCATTATTAGCCAAAAGGATAAAATTAAAACATTTAGGTGAAATCAAAAAGTATCTAGGATTGACAATTAACAAAACCACAAAAGGATTTAAGATATCTCAAGAGGATAAAATTTGCCAAGTAATTAAATTGTATAAAATGGAACTTTGTAAGCCTGCAAAGACTCCAATGAGTCAGGAAATTTGCAAAATTGATGCTCAAAGTCCCAAATTTGATAAGACCATATATCAATCTTTGATTGGTAGCTTATCATATATAAGCAATTGGTCAAGGCCAGATATAGCTTATAGTGTTAATCAGCTGGCACGATATAATAATGATCCACATCAATGTCATTGGCAAGCATTAAAGAGAATTTTAAGATATCTTAAAGGAACAATGCACCATGCATTGTATCTAGAGCCAAAAGGTGATTTGAATCTTAGTGCATATGCAGATGCAAGTTTTGCAACTGACATAAATACTAGAAAATCAACATCTGGGATGGTTATATTATTTGGTAAGACACTAATAGGGTGGAGGTCAATCAGACAACAGCATATTAGCTTGTCAACTATGGAAGCAGAATTTTCATGTCTGTCATTACTATGCACTGACTTAATTCTGTACAAACAGTTATTATTAGACATGGGCATAACTGTTAAAGATTCTATTATTGTGTACGAGGACAACCAGGCAGCTATACAATTATCTACTAATATTGCTGTAAAGACTAGATCAAAGCATACTGATTTAAGATACTTAAATGTTAGAGAATCTGTGAAAAATGGTCTAATTAAACTTGAGTACTGCATGACGGAAGAAAATATTGCAGACCAGTTTACAAAAGCACAAGGTGTTGTAAAATTTAAAGAGAGTTGTGACAATTATGATTTGAAAGTGTAAATGAATATATTATTGTAATATTTATTATTATTACCCAAAAGGGGAGAATGTTATCTATTTTTTTATTTTTATTTAGGGTTTTTCGAACCTCAATATTCCAACACAGTCCAGTCTCCAATTTGTAAATTTTATTATTATTATTTTTGACAATCTTAAGTCCAGCTTTATTTTATGCCTGTTTATTGCTGAAGTATTTTAGTCCAATTTAATTAAGTCTTTAGTTCCGGCTTCTTCCTTTCCCGGTTCGAAGCCCCGCTTAGCTGTCAAAATTATTTTCTTATTTTTTTTCTTGTCCCTTTGTATTTCCGCCGCTCACTTTTCTTTTTTTAAAAGTTCAATGTTACCTTAATCCCGGGGTACTTTTTGTTTAGTTGTTTCGTCCAATTGTCCCGGTTCAGATGTTATCCACCTCTTTCTTCCCTCCTGCACAAATCTTAGTCCAGCTGAGTCCTCCTCTTCGGGGTGGCCATTTTAGACCACCGCTTCAGTCGTCTTCGGGGGGGAAAAGACCAAGCCCAGGAGGGGAGGTGCGGCTCCCCTCAACCTGGCTTGCAGCTTCCCCTTACTCCACCACCCCTCCAAGGCAGCTTCAGCCCCTAGTTGCAATGATTGGGGCTCTCCGACAAAAGAGCACGGACCATAGCCGCGGACAGTCGCGATCTACGGTCTGTCAGCGAGGAGGGCTCAACCCGGAAGTTCGGGAGTGGGGTTCGCTTTGTTTATATACAGTAACATTCCTTGCAATGTCAGAAACGGGAGGGGTTTTGCCCTTTGTACTTCTTCAATTCAGAAAAAACCATACCCCTATTAACAGTGATAGAGGAAGCTTCCCTATACAGGTAGTCCTCTCTTAACAACCAGTCACTTAGCAATTGAAGTTATGATGGATCTCTTCACAGTTACTTCCAGTTTGGTTCTGGAGTTCCAATGGCTGTGCCTTCCCTGTGTCACACATGATCATATTTTGGGCACTTGGCAACTAGCTCACATTTATGGTGATCTTTGGGTTTTGCTGGTTTCCAGCATTTACTCCTGGAAAGTGCCCATTGAGTAAAATGTATTTGTTTCATGACTGAGGCATTTGCAATGTGACTATGGTATTTACTTAAGAGCTGCCTCAAAAAAAAAAGATTGTAAAATCAGGAGGGGTCACATAGTGACCTGCTTAACAACACCACAATTTACAACCATAATTCCAGGCTCAATTATGTTCGTAAATCAAGGGCTACTTGTGTAAACAGAGCAAACCCTTCCAACACCAGTGATTTCACCGAGTCAGATAAACATCTGCAAGAAAACAACCAAGGACTGAACAATTCTTGGATATAGATATTCTCTTCTATTTGTTAATCTTAGATTTGTCGTTTTCCTTCTCTGCGTGCAGCTTCCCCAGTTGATGTGGCAGAGGTTTCTTCTGGAGATGGAAAGTCTGAGGAAGAAACTAACCTGTTTGTTGATGTAGCAGATGCTTATTCTGGGGATGGAGAAGCTGAGGAAGAAACAAACTTGTTTGTTGATGTAGCAGATGCTTATTCTGGGGATGGAGAAGCTGAGGAAGAAACAAACTTGTTTGTTGATGTAGCAGATGCTTCTTCTGGAGATGGAGAAGCGGAGGAAGAAAGTAATCTGTTCGTCGATCAAGAGAATTGCTATGAAATGAGCTTCATTGATAGCTCTGGCCTTGGTGAGTTTTTGTTCCGTAATATTTGCCCGCTGAGCCTCAGCCATCAATCCACATCCTTTTGCGGTGTATTGTAACAAATTGTATACAAATCCATTTACAATGTGGCAAGTTTACCGGATCCTGTCCCCAAAGCTGGTAATTTGTATTCATGTGTTGACCTGCCAGATGGCCAAGATCAAATTATGAAATTTGCCATCGGATATGACAATAGCCACCGATTTATTTATTTCTAAAAGATTGGAAAACTGAATGGAGGATCCAATGACTGATGGCTGCCCACTGATGCCATATTTTCAGTAACAGCTATTAGGCAACAATAATGGAAGAAGGCTGTCATTCTTTTATCTGCTTGCTTGCAAGCTTCCTAGAGATACTTGCTGTTTTGCAAAATGCCATATTTTTCAATGTATAAGACACTTTCTTCCCCCCAAAAGTGGGTGGAAATGCCTGTGTGTCTTACACAGCGAATGTTGCCGAAACCCCGCCCACCCACCAGCCCCCACCGTTCGGCCTCTGCCTCCCAGCAATTTGCCTCCTTACAGCAAACCGCCTGGTCAGCTTCAGCACAGCCTGATTTGGCACAAGCAGCTGATTGTCGGTTGGATCTGCCCCAGACGATCTGCTGTTTCAGGCTGTAGGGATCACCATTGCCTATTCCAGCCTCCGCGCACCCCATTTTCGGCCTCCACATCCCATTTTCAGTCCATTCCAGGTGGCATGGATCAGAGTGAGCTGAAAACGGGACACGCTGAGGCCAAAAACGGGATGCAGAGCCTGAAAATGGGGTGCGTGGAGGCGGCAATAGGCAATGGTGATCCCTGCAGCCTGAAACAGCTAATTGTTGGGAGGCCGATCCAACCGACAATCAGCTGCTTGTGCTAATCAGGCTGTGCTAAAGCTGACCAGGCTGTTTCCTGTTTGCTGCAAGCAGGCAAATAGCTGGGAGGAAGAGGCAGATCTCTTTTTCTTGTTTTCCTCCCCAAAAGCTAGGTGTGTCTGATACTTCAGAGCTTCTTATAGTCCGAAAAATACGGTAGTTGTTACCTGGATCCAGTCTTTGTGTTGTTACGTTGTTAAACCTGCTTTGCTTCTTGATCAGATGGAAGAATGTGGTAACATTTTTTTTCTTGCTTGGCCAGGCAAACATATTTTTATCAAGCAATGATTTATCATGGTTTAAAAATATTTGGTCTTTACCAATTTGTCTACCACGTAGTCCTGCTTTTAGGTCAGAACCTTCCTAGAGGAATGACTTTATACAGATCTATTTCTTCCTTAAGCATTTAGGCCAAACTGCAGTGGAGGCAGCTCTTTTGGATCTTGATGTAGGAAATCTAATTTGATCCCAGAATATCATAGTAATACATTTTATGCACATTGGTACTAGGTAAACTGTACGTTATATCAAATAAAAAGGTATTGTTTAATTCCCGGTTGAAATCATTTGGGGTCTAATTCTCTTTATTCCACAAAGAATATCAGATTGTTCGTCATAATATCAAAGAAGAAAAAGAAGAGCTGCATATTAAGGAGGAACCATGGTCTCCTGGAAGCCCCAGCAGTGATGAATGTGAGTGTAATAATGAAGTGGAAATTTTTGGTATTCCTCGGAATCTTAATTGGGGTGAGTGGAATATTCCAGGAATTTGAATTGCTGTCCTTCGTTACTGCCTGATATACTTGTATGTAATTACTTTGAAATGGATTTGGCATTTTCTTCATAGTGTTCTATTTTAAAGATGTGGAGTGGGAGGACAAAGAATGGCTTGAAAAGCGATGCTTTGGCATTTCAGACATTTAATTTAAATTGTGGCAGGGAAGAAAGTGGAGCCTACAAGCATTTCAAGCTACTTTCCACCGAGAGCTCATGGAAGACCTTCTGCCTGCTGCACTGGGGTCTGGGGAGGTGAAACAGAGTAGAACTTTCTGATTTGTATCTCTTGTGCACAGATCCACCTGTTGCAGTCACCATTAAACAAGAAGAGGAATTGTGTGTTGAGGATCAGGAGGGTTTGGCTTCACTTGGTGAGTGCTGGATAATAATGGCAAAGTACAGCAATTATTTAGCATAACCAGGCTTTCCTAAAATTGAAGGAGTATTTAGTCCTTAAATGATGTAGAGAATGAATTCCACGTGGTAAGTATAACATTTTTCGGTTACATACCTTGAAAACGTTGTTAAGCCCAAATACAGATACTGTGTTTCCCCAAAAATAAGACCCAACCAGAAAATAAGCCCTAGCATGATTTTTTAGGATGCTCGTAATATACGCCCTATCCCAAAAATAAGCCCGTTATGATAGTCAGCCGGATGGACACATTTAGTATGTCTGTTGCAACACACAACAGATGTATTGATCAATTATAAAATAAGATTAATATATAATTAAATAGAAATATTATTGACAATACTTAAAATAAATTATAATATAAATTATAATTAAGTATTTGTAAATACCCAAGCGGGTGCCTTTCGATGAGAGGTGAACGCCTATGTAAACAGATGAACTCAAGACTTTTTGCCAAATGACCAAGCAGAGTACTGACACAATGCACGTGTGTTGTAATGGACATACTTAATGCACTTGTGTGAAATGTTTTCTAAATTTTCATGCCTGCAATTTTTCATCACTTTTGTGTGGACCATCATTCTTAATTGTCATTTTTGTTGCCACTCCTGTCTTGTAAGTCTTCAGTTAAAACTTGATTTAATGTAGACATATCAATCACAAGGCCTGCAGACCAGATGGGCCATATCTGGTCCATGGGGCCACCCTGGAGATAGTGAGGACTGGCCCCTGTGGCCCCAGCCCAGCACACTGCACACATAGGAGGCGGTGAGCACACAGGGACCGACGGTGTCTGGCAGCAGCCACAGCCCGCCAGCCCCTTGGCTGGCGCACTCTGGCTACGCAGCCCGCACAGCGCAAGTGAGTCTGAGCGCTGTGACTGCCGGGCCTGCCCTCCAAGCAGCAGGTGGTCGCTCGCCTACTCCATCCCACTGTCTGTCTTTGCTTGCCCGTGGCTGTGATGGGGCAGGTGGACGCGCCTTCCCTGAGGGCAACCACAATGCTGATGCAGCCCTCAATGAAATCGACTTTTTCGACATCCCTGACTTAATGGTAGATTTAAAGGGAATAATATTTTCACCCCCAGACAAGATGAGTGCAAAAAGAAAGAGCTATTCCGTCGAGTTCAAGAAAGGAATTAATTGTGGAGGACTCTTGGGGCAAGAATCTTACGGCTTTTTGCAATGAGAAGAAGTTGAATCTCTGAAAGGTCCGAAAATTGCGAGCAGAGTACAATAACCTTAGTCAACAGTTGGACAAGGGAAATGCTAAGAAGCGCAAGTGTGGATCAGGTCGGCAACCATTATTTCCTGAACTGGAAGACATCATCCGAATGGATTGCTGACAGGAAAGCAAAGGCTTTGGTTGAGCGCAGGGCTGATATTCAAGCATTTGCCCTTGCAGGGGCACCACAGTTAGAAATATCCCCAGAATTCAAAGCATCACAACACTGGCTGGATGACTTCCTTCAGTGATATGAACTGTCTCTAAGAAGATCGACAACAGTGTTCAAGGTGGAAAATACTGAACTTATTAAACGTGCACTTGCATTCAAGTCCTTCGTTGATGGCATCGACTTTTCTAAATGCCAACTCTCCAACATGATTGCTATGGATGAAACTGCAGTGTTTATGAGCCAAGGATCTCAAATGACAATTGATCAGAGGGGTGCCTCATCAATCTACTTTCCCTCCACTGGTTACGAAAGTGCACATATTACGTGTATTTTGGCAATTCGTCTGAATGGAAAGAAAGCCCCACCTCGAATCGTCACTAAGGGCAAGAAAAATAAGATTGAATGTGTTTCAGGTATTTACGTTCTTGAAACCGAAAAACCCTGGTGCACACAAGCAGTTATAAGGAAGTGGGTCGCTTTAATGCTGCCACTTGTTTTGCGAGGTGGTCAAAGAGGTCTGATAGTCTGGGATTCCACCAGCACTCACTGCGCTAAAGACATGAAGAACTTCCTTGCAGAGAAGAATAGATCAAATAATGATTCCTGCAGGAATGACTGCCTATCTCCAGACTCTTGATATTGCAATAAACAAGCCATTCAAGGACCATTTGCACATGGAAACCAATGACTACATTGAAAACAGAATGGAGAGAAATCAGTGTGGAAACTTTGTGAAGCCTAGCCTGCCAGAGGTTGTGACTTGGGTGAAGAATTCATGGGATAAAATCACTGACAGCTGTGTTGCCAATGTACTACGAGCAGGCTACATGGACAAGAAGTGCTCATTTAAGGAGAGCTCTATTGCTGGACATGACAGATTGGGGCCAATGGGTCTACAGGAAATGGAGTCGCAAGAAATTCAGGCTGGAATTCGAGGTTTGGAGAGTTACGATGATGTTCCAGAAGATGACATGACTGTATTTGAATAAATGTAGATTGTTGTACATCAGGGGTGTCAAACTTGATTTCATTGAGGCCCGCATCAGCATTGTGGTTGCTCTTAGGGGGAGTGGGGGGCATGGCCAGCTCACAAAGACAGTGGGACAGAGTGGGCGGGTGCCTGTTGCTTGGTGGGCCACAGCACTCGGACTTACCTGCACTGTGCGGGTTGCGCAGTGCCAGAGGGCTACGGCTGCTGCCAAACACTGTCGGCTACCATACACTTGCTGCCTTCTGTCCGTACACTGGGAGGGTGTTCTTCTGAGCTGTTCCGGGGCTGAGGGGGCCGGACCCTTGCCATCTCCGGGGCAGCCCTTCAGGCCAAATATAAGCCCATCCGGCCCACTGGCCTTGTGTTTGACATGGCTGTTGTAAATGAAAAAAAAAGACATCACCTGAAAATAAGCCCTAATTATGTTTTGGAGGATAAATTAATATAAGATCTGGTCTTATTTTCGGGGAAACACTGGTAGCCCTTGGATTATGACCTTGTTGAGTGACTATTTGAAGTTACCAGACACTGAACAAGTGGTACTTAGACTGGTCCTTGAAATTCTAGCTGTTGCAGCATCTTGTGGTGACAAATTTCCATTTGGAAGCTTCTTCGCTGGCTTACCACAAGCAAAGTCAATTGGGAAGTGGGCAGGGAAGGTCACAATTTGTACCTTTAAGTCACTCCTGCCACATTTTTCCTGAGAAGCCCCATTATGGAGATCCAGGGATCTTGTACTCCATAGCATTCCAAGCATGTGCCCATCTACAGCATCCGTCCACCAACCTGCCTGCCTGCGGTCCCCATCAACCCACATGCTCTCAATCTGTGGCACCCATGCTGTCCCCACCTGTCCTTGCCTGTGACTCCCACCTCTTCCCACTTAACTGTGCAGTCCTGGAGTAACAATGGCAATCAGGACTGCTGGGATTGCTGTTATTTAGTGATTTGGTCAAGTGATGTTACAATTTACCACTCAGTGATGAGAATTCCAGTCTCGATTGTTATAACCCCAAGGAGTACCTGTAATGTATTCATATATGGTTTTTTTGTAAGTGATTTTTGCCTGTTATTTGTCCTTCGGATAAGGATGAATTGTAGAACATCTCCTTTTCAGACTTTGGTTTCTAAACTGGAATCTTTTGAATCGTGAATAGGGATTTTTTTTTCCCTTAAAAGAATGGTTCCTTTTTGCCTTAGCTGGGCACTCAGTGCTACTACAGTCTTTTGAAGAAGGACAGAAGACTCCAACATCCTTGATGGCCTGTAGGAATGCTCTTCTGCACGATGCCACAGATGACCCTGAGCAGAAAGAAGCATATGCAAAAGGATGTCTTGTTCAGTGTGGCAGATGCACTAAGAACTCTGCACACCAGGAGACCTTGACTGATCACCAGTATAGCCGCAAACGAAAATTCCAGTGCACAGAATGCAACAGGAGTTTTGCTTTTGAGGGACAGTTGTCCCAACACTTGCTAATACACGTACCTGGGACACAGTTCCATTGTACTGAATGTAATTTGTGTTTTTCAAGCCAAAAGGCACTTACTGTGCATGAGCGTGTTCATGCAGTGGACTGGCCGCTGCACTGTTCTGCATGCAACAGGACATTTTTGGACACGGCAGCATTTGACCAGCACCAACTATCTCATGCTCCAGGCCAGGTTTGCCGGTGCGTGGAGTGTAGCGTTTACTTTACCGATCCAGCAGCTTTGGCAGAACACAAGCGAATGCACTCAGAAGATTGGCCTTTCCGGTGTGCTCAGTGCGACCGAACTTTTGTCCATGAGGGCTTACTGTTGGAACATCTTCAGAATCATAGCCGGACAAGGAGTCGCCGCTGCCATATCTGTGGTTCATGGCTGTCCTACAAGGGGTTGCTGAAGCATACTGGGGCCCAGTTGTATCACTGCAAGAAGTGTAATACTTCTTGCCAGGTTCAGGGGTCTGACTCAGTGACTATGAGTGTTAAAAATGCAAAGAAGCCAGGCAAAGGTAGTTCTTAGCCCTCATTAGGCTGTATACTGAGTCAGATGCAAAGATTATTTTTGTGGATCCTTCTTTAAGGCAGTTAAGAAAAGTGAAGGAATGCACTTGGATATATGGTGATAGCATGGAAGTCTTCCTAATTCTCGAGGATTAGGCAACATTGGATTTGTCCAGAAAGGATGTTGTTGCTGTGGAATAAGAAGACCTCCTGCTCCAATTAGCAATGGAATGTAGAGGATGCTTCTTTAACTTCTTACTTGCAGTCTCCTAATCTCCCTCAGTACATCCAAATTTGATTTTTCTTGTTATCAGGTGGGCAGTTTTCTTTTGACCATTGAGTAAGTGTTGGAAGTTGCAACCTCTTGCATTGTGTGAGGGCTGCGTTGCTATCTGTAAAATAGGTTTGCTTCTTAGGCATGCATCGGAGGGGAGCTTGTGGCAATTGGACTGCTGTTTTTGCCATCTACTTATCCAAATCACCTTTTTGTTTTCACTCTCAAGTCCCCTACTGTAGAGGATTCTTATCACTTGTCTGTTGAGACTTTCTCATGATAGATAACCATAGTCACTGGAGAAAGAATATTCCGAAAAGTTTCACAATGGTCAGGCAGTAAATGGTTGAAAAACAAGCTGCAAGCTAAATCTGGATATATCATCTCTGAAATATTTTCTGATTTCGGTATTGCACATTTATACTCAGTATTCTTCCTATGCTATGTTTCAGCTTTCCTTGGTCTGAGCTTTTCCATATGTGTTAGACAGCAGCAAAGTGGGCTGGATGTATGTGATGTAATCCAACATATAATGAGGATTTCAGGTTGTAGAGGGTGGCTTAATTTTTTTACTCTACATCAGGAAGAATATATTAGTGTTTTCACTTCTGGAATTGTTTTTTTTTTTTTTCCTGAAGCAGTCACTAAGTGGTTTCAATTCATTGTATGCTAAAAGATTATCCTGTGCGCTCATGATTTCCCTTGCTCTTGATCCATTATTTTTCCTAAAAACTGTTCCTCATTTAAGAAATATACCAAACTATACTTTTTCCAGGTTGATGGTAGGTTGGTTGATTCGACTGAAGAAGCTGCTTTATCAGTCAACTTGCCTCCATCAAGTACTTCATCGCTTTTGTGAGTGTTTTTAATATTTGCTTCGTCATTAAATGGTTACTTCCCTCTAAAATATCGGATTTGGATTTTGTGGTATTTTTTACATATCTCCCTAATTTAGAACTATTTTATTTTAGTCCTATGGCCTGTTCAAGGTGCTAAACTTACTGGCTTCAAATTCTGTTGGAGTTCTGCCAATCAAATCTTAGCAGTTTGTATTATCAACTGCTCTAGTTGTGGGTATTAGCAATGCTGGCAGATAGAAACATAGAAACTGCAGAAAAAGACCTAGTCCATCGAATCCACCTTTTTGATTTTTTTGCTTTTGTTTGTTTTTAACTGTTTTTATTTTATTTTGTCGGGTGATGGACATGTTTAAACTCAGTTACTGACAATTGGCCCACTACCTCTGTTGGTAGTTGGTTCCAAGCTTCCACTACTATTTCTGTGGAATATTCCTTTCTTTTTTATTTTTTAAAACAGTTTATTAGTTTTTACAATTAAAAACAACCAACGATACATACACAAATAAACGAGAGAAAAAAAAGAAGGAAGAAAAGAAAGAAAAGAAAAGATTGAAAAGAAAGAAAAAAGAAAGAAAAAGAAGGAAGAAAAGTTAAAAGCATTCTTATTTTTACAGCTTGCAAGATTTTTTTTTTCATAGCCTTTGATTTATGTCATATACACACACCTATTCTATACATATATCGCTATCTCATTATTATAGGTTAATACTTTCCTCTTATGCCTTATGGTATATAATTTATCTTTGATCAATCCAATTGTACCAACAATTCCAACTATCATAATATAGTGAAGTATCTTTGTTTTTTAGTGCCAAAGTCAGTTTGTCCATTTCTGCACATTTTGAAATTTTATCAATAATCACTTCATCTGGTGGAATTTGATGTTGTTTCCAATATTGAGCGAAGGCTAATCTGGCCGCGGTTAAGATGTGTATTGTTATGCATTTAGCTTTTATGGAAATTTGTTTGTCAAAGATCCCTAGTAGGAAGGACTCTGGTTTATATTCGATCTGCTCTTTTGTAATTTCTTCCAACCAAGTTTTGATTTTCTTCCAGTAATTTTGGGTTTCTGTACATGTCCACCACATATGGAAAAAGGTTCCTTCTTTTTTCTTGCATTTCCAACAATACGGACTCATGTTGGGGTGCATCTTCGCTAGTCTCGAAGGAGGGAGATGCCATCTATAAAACATTTTATAAAGATTTTCCTTGTATGCTACCGATTTTGTGATCTTATTGTTCCTGCCCCAAACTTTTTCCCTTTCCAATAGTGTAATACTACGTCCTACGTTCCGACTCCACGCAATCATATTCCCTTTTACAATTTCTTCTTCTAATTCTGTTTCTAGTAAATAATTGTAAAATTTTGTTATGTTTTTTTTGTCCGGTCCTAATCAAATTTTATCTAATTGTTGAAGTTTGTTGTTAATTCCAAATTCTTTCTTGTCTTGTTTGTACCTACTTTGAATCTGAAGGTAAACCCATTGATCAATTTTTTGTCCCTGGTCCTGAATTTCCTGCCTCGATTTCAAATTTCCTTGTGGGTCCAATAAGTCTTTATATTTAATCATTTTAGTAATTTCCAGATTGTTTGGGTGAATCATCGCCTCCATTGTTGAAATCCATATTGGTATTTTTATGTAATGTTTTTTCCGTATTTTCTTCCAAATTGTTAGTAGCGCATCTCTAATTAAATGTCTATGCAAATATTTTTGACTGGTTTTCCCTACGTCCCATAAGAAAGCATGCCACCCCCTTTGTAAGTCGTGGCCTTCTAGAAATAATATTCTTTTATTAGTTAAATTCACCCAGTCCTTCAACCAAACTAACAAGGTGGCCATATAATATAACTCCCAGTTTGGGACTGCTAACCCTCCTCTGCTCTTCATATCTTGCATTGCTTTTACATTTATTCTGGGTTTTTTCCCTTGCCAAATAAATTTGAGAGTTATTTTGTTAAGTTCTTCGAAGAACTTTTTTGTGTAATTTAACTGGGATCGTTTGGAATATGTATAGAAATTTGGGGAGAATGTTCATTTTAATGGTGGCAATCCTACCTAATAGTGAAATTTGAAGTTTACTCCATGATTCTAAATCTTTCTTTACCTGATGTAACAATTTGTCATAATTATTTTCTTTCAGTGACTTACAGTGTGGTGTTAGCCAAATTCCTAGATATTTCACTTTCTTTGTCACTTGTATTTCCATTGTTTCTTCTAATTCTATTTTCCTGTTAAATTTTTGGTCATTAATTTGGTTTTTTTCCTGTTTATTTTAAGTCCTGCTACTGCTCCATATTTCTCTAGTTCTTTCATCAATTTTAGTCCTCTATCTATTGGTTCTTCAATGAAGAAAATCATGTCCGCAAATGCTTGCAATTTAAATTCCTCTTTCTTAACCGTTAATCCCTTTATATCTGAATTTCGCCTAATTCGCGTTAATAATGTCTCTAATGATAATATGAAGAGCAGAGGAGAGAGTGGGCAGCCCTGACTCACTCCTTTTTCTATCTTTATTGGGCGAGTGTGTTCCCCGTTTATTATTATATTGGCTTGTTGTGTGTCATAGATAGTTGTTATAAT